CTGGGGTCCCCCCATTGAGGAGACCTCCTAGCTGGGGCTCGGTCCCCCCCCCCAGTGGGGCCCCTTGCCTCCCCCTAGCGCTGTGCTCTTCACTCCCTGCCTCCTGGGCGGCTGGCTGGACCGGCTTTCAATTCCCTTGGCGCGTGTCCTGGCCGTGCCAGTGTCTGGCTGGTGCTGTAGCGAGCCCCCGGGGAGCAGGGGCTACTGACTTTGGAGCCGCTTGAGAGCTGTGGAGGCAACGCTGAATAACTGTCCTGGAACCCCAGAGTGACTTCAGTGTCTTTGAAAGCTGAAAATACAAATGCTGTTAAAAAAAATGCTGCCTCTACTTAAGATTTTGCGTTAATAGCATAGGAAGGAAAGTGATAGAAATGTAGCCGTGTTAGTCTGGGGTAGCTGAAGCAAAATGCAGGACAATGTAGCACTTTAAAGACTAACCAGATGGTTTATTAGGGGATGAGCTTTCATGGGTCAGACCCACTTCCTCAGATCAAATAGTGGAAGGAAGTGGGTCTGGCCCACGAAAGCTCATCATCTAATAAACCATCTGGTTAGTCTTTAAAGTGCTACATTGTCCTGCATTTTGCTATAGGAAGGAAAGGGCGACCTTAACTTAATCCGCGCCTTCCAGTGAAGTACAGGGGGAGTGCTGAAAGGCATGAAAACAATATTTGATGGAAGCAAAGTACCTGATCTATGGGCAGGATCTATTGATATGGTGGACTTGGTGTAGCTAGCCTTCCCAGTTGCAAAGAGAACTTTCCAAGTGTGACTGAAGTGTAACTGGTGTGTTATTGTCTTCCTGAATCTGCAGACAAGTGATAGAGATGTAGCCGTGTTAGTCTGGGGTAGCTGAAGCAAAATGCAGGACAATGTAGCACTTTAAAGACTAACCAGATGGTTTATTAGATGATGAGCTTTTGTGGGCCAGACCCACTTCCTCAGATCTTGTTAGTCTTTAAAGTGCTACATAGTCCTGTATTTTGTTTCTGTGGACAAGTGGTGATGGAGAGGGGTGAATTTCTTCTAGCTTTTGTTAGCCTTTAGATTTGAACTCTAAAGTTGTGTCTACACTGGCAGGTTCTTGTGCAAGAACCTGCAGAGCGTCCACACTGCCTGCCCACTCTTGTGCAACAAGATTTACAGTATGGCATGGTAAGAGAGCTTCTTGTGCAAGAGCTATACTTTTTTGTTACAAGTTTAAGCCTTCTCGTGCAACAGCTCTTGTGCAAGAGGGCAGTGTGGATGTGCGGCAGAGATTTCTTGTGCAAAAGCACATCTTGCACATGGCAGTGTGGATGTGTTCTTGCACAAGAATTATTACACAAGATGTTCTTGTACAAGAACCCACCAAAGTGTATAGACCTAGCCAAAGTGTTTCCGTGATACTTTTGTCTGCACTACTTAACTGCTGGGGAAAATGGGAGCTGCAGCAAGGAATAAAAGAGGGAAGAACAAACAAACCACAAAGAAGAATGAACTACAAATGTAAGGATAAGTTGGTGAAAGAGACAGACTGGAAAAGGAAGAGAAACAAAGAGCAGAAATAGCAGTGGTCTTAAAAGGGAGAAAAATGGTCGAATAAACTATACTGAATGTTTCATGGAAGTACTGAATACCTGAAAGGTCATATAGGCCGTATCTAGCATTCTGCCTCTGAGCTGCAGTAGAATAACACAGGGATTAGTTCTTTGTTCAAGTGTAATGTATGGTGTCAAGTAGCTGAAAGTTGAAGACCCTTCTGGGGAAGTTGGTACGATCCCTTTACCTAAGGCTGTGGTCACCAACCAGTAGATCGTGATCTACCGGTAGATCTCAGGGGCTCTAAAGAGTAGCTCTTGAGCGCTCTCTGAACTGTGTACCTGCGCAGTACATTTACATTAGATTTCCTCATTTGAGGAGCAGCTACTCACTGAGCAGAAACAACAGGTGAGTAGCTGCGAGGAATGGTGGGAGCTGGGAGGTCGGGAGGGCTGAAACACCCCAGCCAGCTGACTAATAAATAACTAATAAATAACTTTTCTTTATCGGCTCTCTCCACACCACTCATGATTTTATAGACCTCTATCATATCCCCCCTCAGTCTCCTCTTTTCTAAACTGAAAAGTCCCATCGCTTTAACCTCTCCTCATATGGGACCCGTTCCAAACCCCTAATTATTTTAGTTGCCCTTTTCTGAACCCTTTCCAAGGCCAAAATATCTTTTTTGAGGTGAGGAGACCACATCGGTACACAGTATTCAAGATGTGGGTGTACTATAGTTTTAAACAGGGGCAGTAAGATGTTCTGGGTTTTATTTTCTATCCCTTTCCTAATAATTCCTAGCAACCTATTTGCCTTTTTGACCGCCGCTGCACTCTGTGTGGAAGTTTTCAGAGAACTGTCCACGATAACTCCAAGATCCCTTTCCTGATTTGTCTTAGCCAAATTAGCCCCCATCATACTGTACATATAGTTGGGGTTATTTTTCCCAATGTGCATTACTTTACATTTATCCACATTAAATTTCATTTGCCATTTTGCTGCCCAATCACTGAGTTTGGTGAGATCTTCTTGGAGTCCCTCATAGTCTGCTTCTGTCTTGACTATCCTAAACAGTTTGGTATCATCCACAAACTTTACTACCTCACTGCTTACCCCTTTCTCCAGATCATTTATGAATAAGTTGAAAAGGATTGGTCCCAGGACTGACCCTTGGGGTACACCACTAGTTACCCCTCTCCAATCTGAAAATTTACCATTTATTCCTACCCTTTGTTTCTTGTCTTTTAACCAGTTCTCAATCCAAGAAAGGACCTTTCCTCTTATCCCATGGCCATGTAATTTACACAAGAGCCTTTGGTGAGGGACCTTGTCAAAGGCTTTCTGAAAATCCAAGTATACTATATCTACTGGATCCCCCTTATCTGCATGCTTGTTAACCCCTTCAAAGAACTCTAATAGATTAGTAAGACAGGATTTCCCTTTACAGAAACCATGTTGACTTAAGGGCACCTTCAGCTTAAATTCTCCAGTGAAAATTAGGAATACTGGAGCCAGAACGTGTATTTGTAATACACTTCACAGCAACTAGTCACGTGACACCCCTTCTTCCCCCCCCCCCCCCCCCCGTTTTGTTAGTCTATAAAGTGCTACCAGACCATTTGCTTGCTGGTTTTTTCCCCCACAACTATGAAGTCTCACTTTGGTTTCCCTTTGTGTACTCCAGTTCTGAAATGACACGTTCTGCCTGCAACATAGAGAAAGCTGAAGTTAAATAACATTTCAGAAACTCTCTCAGTACACTGAGATTATTGGCATGGGAAAAAACGGGTGCTTTCTTCAGCTGTTTGCTCAATGGTGTTGTCTTAAAGTGACTCAAGCCCACTTTTTGTCCATGTAGGCAAGGCCCTTTTCAGCTGTGTTGCGGGGCTGACAAATTTCTTTTTATGGTCTGTGTGGGTCAGGTATCAACTTAAAATGAGTATTGCTCCCGGCTTTCAATCTGGAGGGATGGAATTTCCTTTGAG